TCATCTTGTGATATGTAGAGAAACAAAGCAAGGAGATGTACAAGACTAATTGTTAATGAACCTTGGATCCTTGGATACTGGAATGCAAGTCTGCAGCTATCAGGTTTGGGGGGTAGGAGGAACACCTGGATCGACAGGATTATGGATGGAGGATCTGATCATCCTATGGGAGGAAATAGTAGACACCAAACCAAAGCTGTAAATTATAAAAGAATGGGAAGATTGGTGGATGGTAAGGAAACTCAGACCAGATGTAACATAGGGACAGGTGTGGACAGCCATGGACACCCTAAGCAGCAATTGTGTGTGGCAGTCTTAAACATCAGTATCTTAAACCTGAATCCGATTGTGACCCTCTTACCTAAACTACAATTTGAAAATAAACATAAAGAAAATAAAACAAGTGGTCAAAGCCAACAGAAAATGAGAACTGGTCTAAAGAACTGAGTTTCCACAGCAGGGAGTGAACAGATGGCAGACAGCCTGGCCGAGGGAGAGGTGTCAGAACACGGTGCATGGAGCAAAAAAAAGCTGTATAGAACTTTTGTTTTCCTGAGCAAGATGGAAAGAAATTGGAAGGGATCCTGAGCAGAAGAGTAACGTTATTTAAAATACTCTATAGTATCACTCTAGCTGCCGTGTGCACAATAAACTTCTTATTCCTTAGGTAGGAAAAAGTGTAGTTATTCAAGGCCACACCTGGTGATTCTCTCTACTTACCCCTCGGACTCCACTCCAGGGTCACTGTTGGCTGTGCTCAGGGGACCTTATGTGGCACCAGGCATTGAGCCTGGGTCCAGTTTTGTGCAAGGCAAACACCCCGCCTACTGGACTCTCACTCCAGCTCCAGTATTTGTTTATAATTTAAATAAATTTATTTATTTATAAGTTATTTCTAACCTATACTATCATTCCTATTATATTTTGATAAGATCTTCAATTTGATTATCACCAAGATGACCGAATGCTGTTTCCTAGTTGTTGTTTGTGTTTTATTTCAGTTTCTAGTTCTGTCTCTATGTTCTATGATAAGGCAGGCAATAGAAATGTTTTTAACTTGTAATCTTATAATTTTAACTTTCCTCCTTGATATAATTTATCTTTCTTAATTGGCTGGAGCTATAGCACAGCAGTAGGGCGTTTGCCTTGCACGCAGCCAACATGGCCGACCCGAGTTCGATTCCTCCGCCCCTCTCAGAGAGCCCGGCAAGCTACCGAGAGTATCTCACCCGCACCGCAGAGCCTGGCAAGCCGCCCGTGATGTATTTGATATGCCAAACACAGTAACAACAAAATCTCCAATGGAGACGTTACTGGGCCCGCTCGAGCAAATCGATGATCAACGGGAGGGCCTTTACCTTTACCTTTACCTTCTTAATTAACTTGAGAAAATTGCATCTTTAGACATTGGTTGAGACAGATGCAAACTGAAGAGATAGTTCGTTTGCTTTACGTGTTTGTCTTGCACTTGGCCTATCAAGTTAGATCTCTGGCACTGCATGAGTACCACTGGGTATAGCCCCAAAACAAAAATAAGAACCAAGAACCAAGCAGAATGAAAGAGAAAGAGAGAGAGAGAGAGGAGATCAGAGTTAAATGGAGTCCAGTTATTACAATTCAAAACGTGATTTAATAGACTAGAAGAAATGAGTTCTTGGTGAACCGTCTCAATGGAAAAACAGTTTCTCAGGCTCCAGCCCAGGGTTTTGAGGTCAGGATTTGTTTCTCACAAAATCTTTTGTTGAACTGTAAGCACATTAAAATTTAAGAATAGGTCTAAACAGTAAGAAATTAGCTAAATCATTTTGAAGGCAGTGAGGGCTGTGCCCAAAGAGTACATGGAAGTCACTAGGGAAACATCTGATGTTGAGATGCTTGTAGATAACCAGTGCTACATCCAGTGTTACCAAAGTGGAGACATGCAGTAACAGGGGTTGAAGTACAGGCATTAAACACATAAGGCATATGCTTCCTCCTCTATTTTTTTAAAAAAAATATGGTGTGCTCCTCATAAACATTTTCCAGGACTTTAAATGTTGAAAAAAAATTGACCATAAAGACATTTTATGGACTGGAAAGGTAGCTCAGTGGATTAAGTGCATGCTTCTCCTGGCTCTGCATGTGATCCCTCAAGTCCCTCCAGGAATGACAACCAAGCCCAGAGTCCTGAATAGCACCTTCAGGTATGGACCAAAATAAAAACAAAACCCCAATAATGTTTTAATTATTGTTAATTTCTTAAGAAAAGGAAATGTAACTATGAAATAAATGAAAATAGAATACACTTATATTGCTATAATCCAGAGATAATAGGTGACAAACTTGCTAGGTGTTTTAATGAAAGCTTTTATGTCAAACTGAAGAAAATATTTGATCCCAGTTTTTTATTCGTTAGGTTTAAATGGTCTGGACCATGACATAATTTTAGTAAAGAACAGCTGTTCAGAATACAAATACCCCAGTCAACCCTTTCTTTTTCTGGTAGACATAGATAAAACATACCTCCTAGGCAGAACTAAAAGCTAGAGAACAGAATGTGGAGAGGAGGAAGCCTTGTCAACTTATATTAAACACAAATGTCCCTATGTTTTTGAAAAATATGAATACTTTCAAGAAATATGAAATTTTCTTACCATGGAGATAAAGCTATTGTTCCTCCCCTTCCTTATTTCTTCCTACCTCATAGCTGACCTCTGCCAGCTTCTCAAAGTGGGTAATACTGCCCTCTGCAGGTAGTAGAAGATGGGGAGTAGATGATGAAGAGTGCAATTGTTCTTTTTAGTTTGATTTGGGCGCCACACCTGGCCCTACTCATAGCTTACTCCTGTCTCTAAACTTTAGGAATCACTCTTGGGATGCTCTGGGAACCATATGGGTTGCCGGGGATTGAACCAAGATCAGTGGCATTCAAGGCAAATTCCCTAAGGTGCGCCAGATGGTGCATCTGGGAATGTCAAGTTCTGTTGGCTGAAAGAAGTTAATTTCTAAGTGGTCATTAAGTTTCTTTTATTTTTCTGAAAAAAATGGGGGTGAGGGAAGTAGACCAAATAAGTTTGGGAATGTCTGCTCGACATTTATAAGGGAAGGGTCTTTTAAGAATATAAATTGTCTGAAAATTCATTGTCTGTCAGACAGTATTCTAAATATTTTATATAGTATAATTTTATTTAATCCTTAACAAAACTAAGTAGTAGAAAATATCACTATTTTTACATTGAGAATAATGAAACAGGAATAAAGATTTATTTATTTTCATTTGGTTTTTTAAAAATTTACATTCAAATTAAAATGTAATTTGACATGATCCTGTCTTTAAATGGTGGAGCTGGATTTTAAATCTAAGCAGTTGGTAACACCTTTGAGGATCTGTCTCAGATAAATACACATTTACTTAAACATATTTCTTTGATATGACTTGAGAATTGTTTAAAATCCCCATTATCAAATGCATAATTTATTGCTACTGTTAACAAGTCTTTCTTTTTTGGACATGAAATGTGCTTGACATACTGCTGCCTTCCTTGTCTTCTTGCAATCCTTGAATGCTGCTTTGTATTTAGTTTCTGGACTTGGAATGATTATTTGTCAGTTGAAATACCTGCTGCTGCTATAGATTCAGAAGCTTTGTATTGTAAAATTGGTATCTGCTGGTACTTATATCTCTTTTACGACAGTTTGACCCTTCTGTTAAAGTTGACTATTTAGTCTCCAGGAGTTATCTATCAGTGAAAGAAATGTTAATTTAATAAATGTCACTGTCACTGTCCTCCCGTTGTTCATCAATTTTCTTGAGCGGAAACCAGTAACAATAAGTCTCCATTGTGAGAGACTTATTGTTACTATTTTTGGCATATCAAATACATCAGGGGTAGCTTGCCAGGCTTTGCCATGTGGGTAGAATACTCTTGGTAGCTTGCTGGGCTCTCCGAGAGAGGCAGAGGAATCAAACCCAGATTGGCCACATGCAAGGCAAACGCCCTACCCTCTATGCTATGAGTCCAGCCCATAATAAATGCAGTAAATTGAATTCAGCATTGTATTAGTAGCACAGCTTTATATGTATGATAGCTTTGTTTTATTTTTGGATCATACTCATTGGTACTCAGGCTTACACCTGGGTAGATGCTCAAGGATCACTCTGGAAAGCTTAGGGGACCATGTGTGGTGCCAGGGATTGAATTTTGGTTGGCTGTGTGCAAGGCAAGTTTCTTACTAGATATAGCTGTGCTATCATTCTTGCCCTTACATATAATAGTTTTATTTATTTTCTGTTTCTAGAAGAAATACAGGAGAAGAGCAAAGAATGCAATCTCTGGAGTTAGATTACCCAAGTTCAAAACCTTATTTCACCCTATTACAATCTGTTTATGAAAAATAGTCTTGAAAGCTATAAAATTCATGGTTCTTTATTTTCTATTTATACTTTTGGGGATCATTTTATTATTTAAAACTACTTTATTAAACCACATGAATATTAAATGATATATTACAAATAAATAGTTAGAAAAATAATTGGTATAAAAGAAGCTCAGAATATTAGCTACCATCAAGAAACTCTCCCTCTTTAAACCACAAATTAAAGAAAAGTAATATTCACTATATATACACAGTGCTTAGAAGAGTCAGTACTCCAGTCATTTTTGTTTGTTTGGGGGCTATATTCTGCAGTGCTCTGTCTTCATGGGTCACTGATGGTGCTCTGGAGACCATATACAATGCTAGGGATTAAATTCTGGTCAATAGTAAGTAAAGCACACACCTTAACCCCTATCCTATCTCTTTGACCCCTAAAAATATTTTGAATAGCTGGATGAATGACGCAGTATGTGACCGTGTTTCCAAATAGGTATGTGAATTAGTGATCGTTATTTAGCTTATTTGAGATAATAATATGAAGGAGAACACTAGAGCCCAGTGTCTAGTTAGTTATGTTTTGGTCAAATTCTGGGCCTCCAGCATGCAAGGAATGTTACCCAAAAAATTGGGTAATAGAGCTGCCATCTTGCGTCCCCGCGTGTGTGTGCCTAATCTCAGCTGGTCTGCCGAAACCCCCTGAGCGCCAACCCTTAGTCCCCAGTGCGGACCCATTTCCGTTCTAACAAGATGAAAGAAATGATGAACCAAGAAAAGCTCACCAAACTGCAAGCCCAAGTGCGCATTGGTGGGAAAGGAACTGCTCGCAGAAATAAGAAGGTGGTTCATAGAACAGCTACAGCAGACGATAAGAAACTTCAGTTCTCCTTAAAGAAGTTGTGCGTAAATAGTATCTCTGGCATTGAAGAGGTGAGTATGTTCACAAAGCAAGGAACAGTGATCCACTTTAATAACCCTAAAGTTCAAGCATCCCTGGCAGCGAACACTTTCACCATTGCAGGCCATGCTGAGACAAAGCAGCTGACAGAAATGCTTCCCAGTATCTTAAACCAACTTGGTGCAGACAGTCTGACTAGTTTAAGGAGACTGGCTGAAGCTCTGCCTAAACAACTGGTGGATGGAAAAGCACCACTTGCAACTGGAGAGGATGATGATGATGATGAAGTTCCAGATCTTGTAGAGAATTTTGATGAGGCTTCCAAGAATGAAGCAAACTGAATTGAGTCAGCTTCTGAAGAAGATAAAACTTGAAGAAGTTACTGGGAGCTGCTATTTTATTATGACTGCTTTTTAAAATTTCTTTCAAGGATCTAATAAGATCTAGATCTAATATTTTTAAGCTCAAGCCCCTTGGACACTGAAGCTCTTTTCAGTTTTTGCTTATATACAAGTCATTCTTTGCAGCTAATTAAGCTGAAGAAACTTGAGAATAAAGTTTGAAACAAAGGTCAATAAAGTTCTTTGCCTAGTAAAAAAAAATAGGTAATAGTGCAAACTTGTTAAAATCCGTGTTCACTTAAAATTCTGTTTGCATGAGGAGATCCTATCTATGCTGTGTACTAGACTGATTTAGCACCATTTTTAAAAAAATGGATTTTCAATTTTTATTGAATATTAAATCATCTCAATTTTTCCCATAAGGTTGCTAAACATGAATCTAACTTAATTCTTAAAATCCTTAAAACTGAAGGGGATTAATTTGTTTAAAAGAAACATTGACAGGCGGGACAGGACTGTGCGGGGACCTCAACGCATGAAACTCTGCTAGTGCTCCCACCCACAGGTTAGAACTAAGGAGGGCCTGGTCTCCCCAGTCATACTATCCCTGATTCATTTCCAAAGAGGCCCCTAATAGTTACATAGGAATACCAAATGGAAGGGAATATTCCTGAAGGGGAAAGGAGAAGTCACCACCCCCAGACTGCCACAGCATTATGGGAAAACAGTGCAAGAAACCCATCATAAGGAATGGAGGAAGATAGGCACCCTGAAGCCTCAACAAGAAATATCCACATACAAAATCTATCTGATAAAAAATTTAGAGATGAAATGGTGAGGATGTCCAATGAACTCAAAGAGACAGTGGAACGGACATCTAATAAAATACAGGAGAATATGAGAAAAACAGTGGAATAGACAGCTAATAAAATACAGAAGGAAAAGAAAACTACAAACAGAAGTATCCATTAGTAAAAAAAAATTGATAGATGAAATGAAAAACTCAATGACTGTCCTCAATAGTAGAGTGACAACAGTTGAAGACAGAATCAGTGAGCTTGAAGATGAGCTGCAGAAAGCATACAGGAAGCAGAAAATGGAAAAAGACCTCAAAATAGCTCAAATGTGTACAAGAGAACTATGGAATGAATTAAAGAGGAACAGCATAAGAATTATTGGGGTCCCAGAGGAAGAGGGAGGCAATCCCAATCAGGTAGTGAAATTAAAAGATGTTGTTGCTTAAAGTTCCCAGAGCTAGAGAATGCAGGCATTTAGAACCAAGAAACCCAAAGGGTATCAGTTAAAAGAGACCCCAATAAAACAGACTCCAAGACATATCCTAATCGGAACAATGAATACCATAGAGATACAATACTTAAAGTAGCAAGATAAAAGAAGGAAATTACACACAAAGGAATATCTCTTAGATTTAAAACAGATCTATCACATGAAACTCTCTAGTCCCAGAGGGCAATGATCAGATATAGCCAAACAACTTAATGAAATGCAGCCTTCATCAAGAATATTTTACTTGCTAGAGATATTCATTCAGATTTGAAGAAATGATGCACAACTTTATGGATAAATAACAGCTTGAGGAATGTCACAGACTGAAAACCAACTTTCAGAGTACTGAAGGGGCTACTGTAAGGCAAGACAAAACCCACAGACACAACAAACTTCTACTGAAATATGGCACAAAAACCCCATGACAATAATCTCTGTCAATATCAGGGGACTAAATGCACAAATTAAGAGCAAAGAGTGGCAAAAAAAAGCCCAGGCCTAGATGGATTCACAAGGAAATTCTTACAAACCTTTAAAGAGGATCTACTACAAATACTTTTCAGACTTTTCCAGGAAGTTGAAGAAACAGAAACACTCCCATAAAGAAACATTCCAAACAGTTTCTATGAGGCAAATATCATTTTGATACCAAAAGCAGACAGACAAAGGAACCACACAAAAAAGAAAGTTACAGGCCAATATCCCTGATAAATACAGATGCAAAGATCTTCAAAAATAGTAGGAAATAGAATCCAACAATTCATCAAAAAGATCATGTACCATTACCCAATAGGATTCATCCCAGACATGGAAGGATAGTTTAACATTCTCAAGTCAGTCAACATAATGAACCATATCAATAAAAAAAAGATTAAAAACTATCTGATCATAACAGTAGATGTGAAAAAAGCATTTGACAAATCCAGTATCCATTCATGATAAAAAAAAAAACTCTCAACAAATGGGAGTTGAAAGAACATTCCTCAATATAGTCAATATAGTTAAAGCCATCCTATGACAAGCCCAGAGCAAAAATTATACTCAATGGGAAACAAAACTAAAAGCCGTCCTTCTAAGATCAGGCATAAGACAAGGTTGCCTGCTCTCTCCACTTCTATTCAATATAGTACTGGAAATACTTGCCATAGCACTTAGGTAAGAGAAAAAAATGTCAAGTGCATCCAGACAGGAAAGGACGAAGTCAGCCTCTCACTATTTGCAGATGACATGATACTGTACTTTAGAAAATCCTATAGATTCTACCAAAAAGCTCCTAGAAATAATAAAATTGCATAGTAAAGTGGCATGTTACAAAATCAATACTGAAAAATCCATGGCTTTTATACATATAAATAGTTAAGAAGGAAGAAATATTAAAACAACAACAACAGAAAAAAAGTTCACAATTTTGTCTCAGAAAATCAAGTTTCTTCGAATGAGCTTAATGAAGGATCTATACAAAGAAAACTACAAACACTTCTTCAAGAAGTAGGACAAGAGGAACTGGAGACACATCCATTGCTCATGATTGGGAGAATTATTGTCAAACTGGCAATACTTCCCAAAGCTTTATACAGATTCAATGCAGTCCCTATAATGATACCCATGACATATTTCAAGGAGATAGACCAAACACTTCTGAAATTCATATGGAACAATAAATGCACACGAATAACTAAAGCAATCTTTGGGAAAAAAAGATGATTGGAAGTATTACGTTTCCCAATTTCAAACTGTGCTACAAAGTGGTAGTAATTAAAACAATAGTTTTTGAATAAAGAAAGACTGCAGACAAAAAACAGAGTTCAATACCCTGGCATGGGCCGGAGCAATAGCACAGCAGGTAGGGCATTTGCCTTGCACGCGGCCAACCGGGGTTCGATTTCTCCACCTCTCTTGAAGAGCCCGGCAAGCTACTGGGAGTATCTTGCCCACACAGCAAAGCCTGGCAAGCTACCTGTGATGTATTTGACATGCCAAAAACAGTAACAACAAGCCTCACAATTTGTTGTGATACATTACTGGTGTCCGCTCGAGCAAATCGATGAACAACAGGAAGACAGTGCTACAGTGCTACCCTGGCACATTTCCTCAAATATATGATAATTTAATCTTTAATAAAGAGCAAGAAGTAAGAAGTGAATCAAGGAAAGCCTCTTTAACAAGTGGTCCTTGGAAAACCTGGTAGCTGCATGTAAAAATAAATTAATTCAGCCCTTGATCTAATGCCTTGCACAAAAGTCAGATCAAAATGGATTAAAGATTTCAATATCACAGCTTAATCCATAAAATACATGAAGGAAAATGTAGGGAAAACTCTCCATGACACTGAAGCTAAAGACAGATATAGAATGACCGCTTTCATTTTTGGTGTGTAAAGAAACAAAGCAAAGGAATAAATGGTATCTAATGACAGCGTTCCTGATTCTTTATGGTCGACGGAGGTCAGAATTCCGGATTCTTTCTCTCACTTGAGTGAAGCGTGATACTCCAAGCATAGCTCTATCAATTTCTCTTTGGGAGACCTGAATAGCATTCTCATCCTGTTTTCGTAGGGCCCAAGTCTCTGAAACATATGTTAATGCAGAAAGAACAGTGGATTCTAAGAGATGTGCCCAGAGTCAGAGGTTCTTTGTCCTCTAAGCTATTTCTTTAACGCTCTTGAAGGCATTCCAAGCTTTTCTCTTCCTCCTGCACAACTCAGGCGCCAGGTCATTTGTCATGTTGAGGTCTCGAACTAGGTACACATAACTGTTGCATTTGGAGAATGTTCATTCCGTTGAGAGCAAATGGAATGTCAGGAATGAGACTGTTTCTTATAAACATCGTCTTCGTGAGATCAGCTGCAGTCCAACCTTTCCACATTCACGCTTGAAGTTGGCCAGCATTTGTGCCGCTTGGCTAATATTTGGTGTTATTAAAACAATGTCATCAGCAAAGCGGAGGTGGTGTAGTTGCCAACCGTCTATCTTCACTCCCATTCCTTCCCATTCCAGTCATTGCATGACGTTCTCAAGGGTGGCACTGAAGAGTTTCGGTGAAATGGTATCACCCTGTCAAACCCCTCTCTTGACATCGATGATCACTTCCTTGTAGAACGGTGAGATCCTGGTAGTGAATCTGCAATACAGCTCACGGAGGATCCTGATGAATTGAATTTGAATGCCCTGTTTGGCTAGGTTGTTCAGATAATAGTAAATATTCTCAATATTACTATATAAAATTTGAATAGACCATAACTTTTACATAAATGCCAATTAACTGATAGCTTCAAATATACCTTAGAAATAAACTTTGGAGAATATACAAGCATTTCAAATTTTGTATTAATACCAACCAGTGTTTACAGAAAATCATGTTTGGTTTATTTATTAGAGTTCCAAATACCATTCTTAGAATTTTTGTTTCACTTCCCAGCAAAAGCAATCATGCTTGTTATTCAGTCTTCACTAAGAAAATAGGTCACTACGATAAATTTGTCAGAATATAAATACACAGACAATTGATATTTAGGGCTAGATCTGATTTGGGTATGTTTCATGAGAATATTATAGAAAAATTTGTTTTACACATAGACCTCTCTACTGTTCTTGGGAGGTTTAGAATAGCTAATTAGGATTTAGTGAAATCTTAGTCACAAGTTTCTTGGTAACTAAATATCTATGACATAGCATTTTCTTATATATAAAGGTTTTATATAAAAGGAAAACAAAGCAAATTTTCTTATTCATAAGTGTATGTTCAACAGGATTGTAAAGGTCCTTTTATGGATTTTTTCAAATCTTGTCATCTGGGTTTTCGAAGTCTTAGAAACTAAGCACAAAAGAAATATTGAGATCAGGGTGAAATCTCAAATGTAAGGGGAAACATGTTAAAAATAAAAATGATGATACCCTTCTATAAAAAGTCATTAGGAAAAGTGAAACCAGTGACAGGTAAAGAAATGTGACTCAGGTTTATGAA